ACTTTTCCTGTTCATATATATGATGCTACAGGGCCCAGTGCAGCAGAGAAATGTGCAAGGTTTATATTAATGTAAATCCTGACTACGTTTCTAAAGGAAATGTCAGTATTATACAAGTTGTATTTCCCCTGTTTTTAATTTTATGGTGTTAAAAACAGTTCTTGACAGTTGTTAAATCATCTTTATATAGTAATGGTGCCTTCACAACTCTGAGGTTCTTCATGGTGTTCAGAGATCTTATGTTCGCACTAATGATTCATACTGACCAGCTTGTAAACTGAACTACGTGCATTTGTGTGGGCAATGTGAGTGAGAATAATGAAGTTTAAAGCTCCTTTTAGTCTTGACTTAGCCATAAGACAGAGCGACTTTAGAAACTTTTCCTACTCTGAATTGCATCTCCTTGTTCTCTAAATATGGGACATTCATTTCTTGGGTGTTTAGAAAAACTGTTTTGACTCAGTTCATGAGTACAAGAGATTAAGAGATTAAAAAAATCCAATGTACATCTGGAAAGGTGTGGGTGAAGTAGCAGCAGGAAGCTGGTAAATTAGCTCAGTCATCTTGAAACTATAGTAATTCATTTTGATAATAGAATGCAAGTGATTCTCGAATGCTAGTAGGACTGATTGTAATACACTTTTTCTGTTAGTGGATAGAGTGATAATGTATGCAAGTGGGCAGGAATGTTTCCATTTTTGTGTAGTAATGTTTCGCAAAAGAACTTAAGCGTAACTGCTTAAACCCCAAATGAGTAATTTTACATAGACGAGAATATGTGTGAGTTGACAAGAGTTTTCTTCAGTTTTATTTGTGAAAACCAATGCTTGAACACAACTCCAAGATAATTTATGATAAATTATTTCTTACACTAAATAAAATCACATAAGTACTAACGAGAGTTCCTGCACTTGTTCTTTGCCATTTCTGGATCAGGTAAACTTTCAGGCATTTTCTTAGGAAGCAGAAGGGAGCAGATGTGTAAAGAAGAGTGAGACAAGAAAGCTGTCCACATTCAGCTCAGGGATGAGGAGTAGAGAACTGTGAGTGACATTCCTTTTCAGTAAAGAAGTACCTAAAGATACTTTTTACTTAATAGAAACATAGTTTGAAATGGAAAAAAATACGGGTTTGCGTGTTATAATGTTGTCTCCATTGGGCCCAAGACCTTGAATAACTGAATAACTTTGAATTTTTTGTCTCTGTCTTTCACACAGGCAATCTCTTCTGCACTGCAAAGTGAAAACCAGGCGTGAGAGTAGGCTGGAGCATCACAGGCACCATGGCTTCTGTGTTTTTCCATCCTTTTTGCTGGCTGAAAAATGCCTGTTATTTAGTTACCAAGCATCTGCACTGTGCTGAGGAGAGAGAAGCTCAGGATATATGTTGATGAAT